ATTCCTGTGCTGGCCCCCTCCCCTTTTACCCCTTCCAGTCCCTTCTGGATAGGTGCGGGGGACAGACAGACGGCAGCAGCCCTCCCCCATTGTTCCTCCAGCCCCAGTTCGGCTTCCCCAGACAACGGCAATATGTTTGCAGTCATTCGTGCTCCTCCGACAGGATCCCTGTGGTATTCCTCCCCTGCTCTGAGCCTCTTATCAGGGCTGAGCAGGGAGCTCCAGGCTCCATCCCACGTTCAGACACAGCCTCTTCCTCGGGCTTGCTACGTTAGTGCCGCCAGAGGCTTTGGCAGAACAGCCACCAGCATCCAGCGCCGAGGCCCCAGGGGAGGGGGGTGCTGGTGTTAAGGGAACCTTTCAAGTCGAGCTTGATAAATGAGCTACAATTTCAGGCCTGTGAACAAATTACCATTTGGCTTCCCCTCTCCAGTAGGATGGCAGCAATCGGCTGCCTGTTGCTTTATTTATTGTGTTGCTCTTTGCCACGCAGGCCCCAGGGGACTCCAGGACTCCGGCTCCTGACGACTGCAGAGGTGTTTGAGTCCTTTCCTGCACTGGCAATTGAGTTTCTGGCCTTTGAGAACTGGAGGTCTGGTCCAATTCCATGCTGTGCGATGAGAAAATACTGAGAGCCGACCTAAGGCAAACCACAGATGTAACCCCTACTCCCAAGGGGCTCCCCCAGCAAGGAACAGGCAGGAGACAGTGAGTATCAGTCCACAGTCAAGCAATTGAGAGAGATGCCCCTGCTCCCTGATGTGATGCTCTGCATTCATAATGCTGTTAGTTGTCTATGTGCTGGCAATGCCTGGGGGCCAGTTGTATTGTGCAGACACACAGGAAGACACAGCTTTTGCCCCACGCAGCCAGCCCTGCCCCATGGCTTATACCAGCCCCTGTATGAGAGTGATGACGACTAATGAGATTGATCCAAACCAGCAAAGCTGGACACTGGTGCTGCAACGTCCCCCATAACAGTCCCAAGGTGTGGCTGTATCTTACCTTGCTGCTGCAGCATTGGCTTCTGCTCTCCAATCTGTTCCCTGGACAGCTTTTGAGCCTCTCGGTTCAGGTCACACGGGTTGTGCCCCAAAGCAGTTAGTCCCTGAGGCCTCCCCAGGCCATTATATGTGGTCTCAGCGCCATCCACAGCCCATAGTCAGGGCATGGCTAATTCCCATGTCAAATGCCTTGCGACAGGCACATATAGACAGTAAGTTGCTGGATCGGCTGTTGGAGTTTTGCCTCAAAGGACTTGGCCTGGAGGGTTTTTAGTCCCTTTCCTTGCATTCGGTTCCCATCCAGCAAATCCCCACCTTTGCGAAGCACTGAGAGATATTCTTGCAGATGCACTACTTTCAGGTAGATCTCCCCAAATCTGTGTCAGTCTAGCTGGGAGTGTGATTTCCTGGACGCCTTCTTTGTCCGAGTGCTGTGTGGAAGCGAGCAGGCCGCGTGGTCAGAGGTTTGACGTGTGGATGGTAGAAGGTTAAGGTTAAAAACCAGCCCAGGTTCATTCCTCGGTGAAGATGTGCTCTTAGGAGACAAGGACGGCTTTTTTCTTACAGACCAGGAATTGAGATGCAGGCGGAAGAGGAAGAGAGGAGGAAGAACGTGGGGAAGACCTGCCAGGGAGCCATGTTAATGCCTCACAGGGAAGCTCTTTTCTTCACCTGTAACAAGTGTGGGGTGCCCTAGGCCCCGGGCAACTAGGATTTGACCCTTTTAGAGTGCAGGTGGTCTTTAGGAAGAGGCTCTGGGGACATCCAGGCTGTAAAGCAGAGGTCTGGGCTGACCTGATCCCCATCCCAATCTCACGGATAGATTCCCCCGTGAACCACCCCTCAGTTACTGAGATGAAGCTGCACGTGTTATTTTGACTTTGTCTTAGGGATGAAATGCAGTTTGAGTCTGTGAAGGGGGAGAAGCACTGGCAGCGACAAGCATGGGAGCTGCAGGGGCTTCTGTAGGGGAGGGAATAACCAAAGGAGCCGTGAGGGGGTAAGACTGGTGCTGAGGGGACTTGGGGAGAGGGAGTGAGTGATGGCTGTGGAGGCGAAAGGAGAAGGAAATTGCTAGGTGATGTGGGGGGCACGTCTGCAGGGGAAGGAGGCTGTCGCGGGGCCCAGAGCTGCGTCTGAGGCAGCCTGCTTGCATCGCACTGCCCTGCCAGCCGTGCCGGGCTCGCTGTAGCTTGTGCCCATGGAGCCGCCGAGTCAAGGCCACCAACCCCATCAGTTATAGCGTGGCCCAAGACTGCTGCCTCTGTCATCCAGCCAGATCCTGGGACTCAGTCTCGCCTCGGCCCCTTCAGATGTGAGCCTTACTCGGTCAAGCCCAGCCCCTGGGAGAAGCGCCGTAGGTTGTTCCAGCTGGGAGCCGCCAGCCAGCCATAGTGTCTGGGCAGAGACTGTCTCCATGGGCCTGCTCCCTGATGAGATTACAATTAGCTTATGGTATTTCTGCAGGCTAAGCCCCTCGCGCAGCCGACACCACAGAGCTGGTCAGCGAGTGCAGTCTTGGGGCCCTCTCCATGCGGGGTCCTCTCCATCTCAGCCAGCCTGGCCTCCTTATTGAGAGCAGAGCTTTCCTTCTCCCCAGGTCCTGCTATCTGGCGTCGCCTCCCTGGACATCTCCTCGCCTCTCCCTTCAGTGCGTGCTTGTGACACTATACTCTCAATGAGGCATCTCTGGTAAAAGCCTGTCCAGAAGACACAGCACCACGCACAACCGAATTCACTCAAACAATCGGTCCAAATACACTGGGCAGCCTCCAAAGCAGAGACTGGACCATACTGCCTCTCCACTGTCTGCCTTGCATGTGAGCTAGCGAACCCTACGGGTCAGTTCTCTCCCAGAAACAAGAGGCTAGGATTTGCCTCCTGCCTCTCCGTTCTCCCAGCCCCATCTCAGACTGAATGAAGCAGGATAAAAGCCTGGTTTCTCTTGAGCAGTCAAGAGCATTTTCCCCATTTGCCCTCCTTTGCTGTGCCTCCACACCTGAGTAATTCAGTCACAGGTCACCTGGCACATCCCATGCCTGGATTAGTAGCTAGGGCTTGGTACTTGGCTGCCTTCTGTCACCAGGCTGGGAAGCGCTGCTCGAGCCCTTTACATGCGGGCTGTTAAATGCTCAGTCGTTTAATGCTCTCTGCCAGCCATTTGGCACAACGAAGTTCTTTGTAAGTCTTTTAAAGAGAGAAGCGAGGTTTTCTTTCGGCGCACACCCACCCAGGGGCCTACGTTCTCTCTGTGCTCTAACGTGCCGCTGAGTGCATTAAATCGGCATCGGACATTAGACAGGATTCCTCCGCCGTTCTGCCGTGTGGCTCATCGTTGTTTCAAACAGCACTGGGATTGCCTGAGCTGTTAGCAGTTACAGCAAGTGTGGAAATCAAGAGAACATGCCTTCTGGTTTTAATCCTTAGCTCTGGCTCCAATTCCTTGTGTCCTCTTGGCCAGGTCATCACCCCATGCCCCACATTGGTAAAAACAATCTGTTCTTACCTAGGACCAAGGAGCAGGAAGAGGCCTCCTGGGCCATTCAAAGTAATTCCTGGCATTCATGGATAAACCTTTACCAGAGGATCCCCCAAAATTGCCACGTCAAACCCTCAGACTCGATTACAAAAGATGCTGGAACCAGAGAAGGACCCAAGCTGCAAAGCTGGGGCTTGGAGATGATTTAATTTCCTTTTATCAAGCTGGCCAGGGGAGCAGTATAGTGTTAGGATCAAGATTAGGAGGAGATCTGAGCTTTGGGTCTTCATTGCAGAAGGCAGAAAGGGATCCCATATAGAGGGGGAGGGAAGGGGCACGTAGGCTCCAGTGTTTGTCCCTACAGCCCTGCTCAGCACCATTGCACCCAAAAGTCCTGGGCCTCAGACCTGTTGTGCCAAGCTGTGGCCTGGCATCAAGGTAAGTTTTCAAACACCCGAAAGCCAGAGTTCTTATAATGGGAGTGCCAGGTGAGTTAGCACGTCATGTCTCTTCCAACAGTGCCGCTTGCCAAGACTGGGCTGCAGAGATCAAGATCCAAACACCCGCTGAGCTTGGGGTGCTTGAGATACAAGCGGAGATGCAGGCTCCTCCATAGCTCTTGGTAGGACAGGAGATTTAACTCCTTCCTCCGCACTTCCAGCACTGGCCATAGGATACTGGACTAGCTGGCCTGAGGGCCTGTTCTTGCAGGGACAGCACAGCTACCAGCGACAGCTACAGACAGTGCCTCACATGTCCTAGTGTCCGAGGTGGTGAGTTATAGGGCCTAACCCTTTACCTCCCGCGTAAAAGACTTTGCAGGATAGGCACATGGCAAGCCCAGAGGTACTGAAGTTGCCCACTGGAGCAGCCAAGTGTTCACACCCCTCCAAAGTCTAATTTGCCTTTGATACGGACTTAATTGTTTGCGTCACCTGCAGGGCTAGGAGGAGGGCTATATAAGGGGCTGCAGCCATTGTCTGAGGCACAAGAGAGCCCAGAAGCAGCTCCCCCTCCCAGCCGTCCCTAATCCGGCGCAGCAGTCACAGCCTGTACGTCATGCAGCTGGTGGCCAGCCTGGTGTCCGTGCTGCTGCTGGTGTGGAGCGTGAGAGCCACGGCATTGCCAGGAGAGGAGAGACTCTTGCTACAGAACAGTAAGGTGAGTATGATGCAGGAGCTGGGATGGGGTGGGACACGTGGAGAAGCAGCCTGGAGAGCTGAACAGGGCAGGCAGGACTGCTGCAGGGTTAATCCTCTCGACTTCTTTATATTCCAAACCACCACTGCTTCCCAGAGACAGCTGCAGCACGCGGAGCTGTTGCCGGAGCTGACTATCCAGTTTATTAAAAGGGGAAAGGATCAAAGACAGACTCTAGGGGAAAGTGTGGAAGCAAAGTCTGTGCTAGATGAAAAATGACAATGCAAAAAGAAGAGAGAGGAAAACGCGAGTGCTAAAAGAGTACAACCTGATGGAATAAAGCAGAGCAGTGAGAGGCAGAGGAAAGAGCAAGTACTCAGTAAAACGATCAAAGGACTTCATATTTTAAAGCAGACTCACAGGAAGGGAGAACTTTTAAAGGACCAGACACAGTAGGAGAGGAGGAAGGTAGAGGAACAGTAAGTGGAGTAATCCTACCAGAATAAAGTGACTTCAGTCCAGAATAAGGTCCACATGTAGAGCTAAGCCAGCAGAGCTATAATGGTCCAGCTCCCCTCTTGACCAGCAGAACGAGGCTGGCAGAGACACAGTTACACGATTGACTGCCAAAATGATAGTATGATAATAACTATAACTGTGGTGCCGTCACTCTGCCGGTCATTTCCTCTGGGTAGACAAGTCCCAGGAGACTCCACAAAGGAGAGGGAGCGATCCCCATAAAATAACTCCCTGGGAAAGTGTCTCTGCCCCATGCCGTGTGCCCCCAGCCTGGGGCTCTCCAATTCCTCACCTGTTTGCTCTTCTCCGGCACCCGCTCTGCTGTTCTCCTCCGAGTTTCTCGTTGGATTAGGTGCACTGCTGTCTCTAGGAATCTGATTCATGCCCCTCTCCACAGCGCTACTTACATCTGAGCTGCACACAAAAGTGGAGGAGCCCAGAGTTGATCTTAAAGCTACTGGCTTTTCTCTTGTGTGTATCTGTTTCGTGTTACCGCTCCTTCAGTCTCAGCCGTGTCTCCAGCTCATCCATCAGTGTCTTAGTGCTTTAGGAATGGCCTCAGATCCCAGGAACAGCAAGCAAGAAAAGGGGCTGCAAGGAAAAGGCGTAGAGTGTGTGAGATCTTGGGGACGGCGTTCCATTAAAGAGCAGTGCTTATGTGGGCAGGCTGGTATTAACCCGATGGGGGATAATAGCATCTTTCTGCTGTCGATTCTTACAGCAAGAAAAAAAATGCCAGTAATTTATTTTTTAAATTAAAAGTCCCTCCATTGTTTGATAAATACCTTCAGATACAAACTCCAGCTCTGGGAAAGAGGAAAAAGTCATATGGCTAATGTCAGCAATGAATGCCTTGATAAGAACTGAAGTAGGGTTGTTGGTTGTAGCCGTGTTGCTCTAAGGACATAAGAAGGCAGAGTTATTTGGGTAGATGTGATACCTTTTATTAGACCAACTAAATAGTTGGAAGAAAGTTCTTTGCAAACTTTTGGGCACAAACACCCTTCTTCAGGTTTTGGGACTCCCAATGCTTGAAGAAGGGTGTTTGCACCTGAAAGCTTGCAAGAACTTTTTTCTAACTATTTAGTTGGTCTAATAAAAGATATCTCATCTACCCAAAGAACAGACTGAACAAAGTTGTAATCATTCTCATTCTGAATGTCACCTCCAGCACAGTGGCTGGCAGGGAACTATAGAGAGAATAACTGTTTTTTGAAAATGTTTTACAAGCTAGATATTGGTAGGCACTCATTAACTGATACAGATACCAGTAGGTAGGATATATCAGAATCCATATTCAGGGCAATCTCTCCCTACTAAGGGCTTCAGGTTTTGAGGTGTTGGCATGTGAAGAGAATAGAAAATCGCAGAGGTAAATGATGATGATAATGGTATGTGTATCTCGGGGGATGGTTGGGGATGGTATCGAGACACCCGAGCAGCAGGGATGCTAACAGACTCCAGCTACTCTGAGCTCTCTACCTGCTGATGGGGTTGTCTAGATTTTTTGCAATCCAGAGCACTGTAGCACAGGGGTGTTAGCATAGGACTAGGGCAAAGGAATGAATGTCTATCTTCTCTAAAACCCAAAGTCATTTTCCTTTGCAACAGCAAGGGAGTCTTGTCATCCTGTTCCATTGCAGCTGTGATCTGGCTCTGAAGCCTTTTGACCTGTTGTTGGCTGTGCCTTGTTTTCAGCCAGCACCAGCATCCATAACTCTTTCACCCAGCTCATTCCCAAGGCGCCAGATCTTTGGGCGACAACATAGCAGAGTGTTATTAGGTATCAGCTGTCTGCAGCTCTGGCTAGGGCAGATATTTCCAGACACAGGGATGGGATTTAATAAGGAAATGTGACCTGAGCATTTCTGCAAGGCTAGGACTGAAGAATCCATCTGCCAGACAGACAGCTCTGTGGCTAAGACACGGGACCGGGAGACAGGGGACCTGGCTTCTGTCTTCAGCTCTGCTGCAACCGTGAGCACTTAACTTTTCCTGCCTCGGTTTCCCCATCTGAAAACAGGAGTGAGAATTCAAGCTGGGCAACTGCCTGAATAATTGCCCACCGAGATTCCCTGAAATAAAACCTGAACCTTGCTTTGACTGTGTCTGTGCCCCCCTTGTGCTCGCTCCCAGTGAGTGGGCTCACCAACAGCAACACCAAATATCACCCAGGAAGCAAATGCTGAATTTGCAAGTGTGAAGATTCACACAGAAGCTGCTTCCACGAGTCCCATCCATCCAGGCAGGGAAGAGGAACGCTCACTAACAACCGCTTTGCCCTACCAAACCCTGCTTCCTTATGATCCACAGGCAAGAGATCTTTCCTTAGATCTAGTCGGTTGTAAAGTACAGGCTAGCACCACTGAACAGTGATGGCTCCAGTGCCCTTTGCACTGATCCGGATCCTTACAATCCAGAATTACTGGCCAGGCCCTACTCTGCTCTTCAGTAACAGAGTAGCTGAGTTAAATTTCTTTGGATTTACTGGTTTCACAGAGTTGGGTATCTTGTGTTAAGTTCCCTGAAAAGAGACAATTCACATCACCTGTCTTTTTATTCCAGCCATTTGGGGCTACCTCTCCCCCAGCCCCGGCTTCCTCCTTTGGGCACTATGCAGTGTTTGCTCAGGGAGATTGCAGCAGCTCTGCTCACGGTCATAACAGCTCTCGGGCCTCTGTCACTTCAGACCCGTCTAGCACAAGGACGGGGCAAGGAACACGGCATAATGACGCAATCGAGAGGTCTGAGCATAGGTCTGGGAGCCAGGAGCTCCTGAGCAGTAATCCCAGCCCTGCCACTGGTGTTTTGGGCAAGTCACACTACCTCAGTGTCTTGGCTTCTCCACTTGCAAGGTGGGGTAATAATGCTTTCCTGCTATGCAGAGGGATCTCAGGAGGATTTACTAGCTTGAGACCATGAGCCAAGTGCTGTATGAGCTATTATCCCATAGGAGTTTCTGGCGAGGCAGAGAATCAAGGGAATTTGCATCCTGTCCCTTTCTTGCATCTCTCCAGACTTGAAGAAGAACGAAGCTTTCTGGGCACTGAGCAGAGAGCCATGCAGGGCACCATGCCAGCGCATCTGCTTTAGACCTCCTTCCCCATGCATGCTGTCTTTCCTCTGGGCCCTGGGCCAAGAAGCAGCAGCCATGGGATATGGGACAGACAAATGAAGAATGGGATGGGATACCTGGGACTGGGACTCCAACCACCCCCATAACCCCCTAGAGCAGGGGTGGGAAATTATTTTGGGCAGCAGGCTGCTTGCTGAGTTTTGACAAGCCATCGAGGGCCGCATGACAGGCAGCCAGGGCAGATTAATATTAATTTTCTAAATTTTTAGGGGCCTTGCAGGTTGGATAGAATGGCCTGGTGGGCTGCATCTGGCCCCCGGGCTGCATTTTGCCCAGCCCTGCCCTAGAGACTCCCATCCTTCCCTATGGACTGGGTTGGTCTTTATCTCAGCTAGCATGCCCAGACTGCCTCAACCTTGAAACTCTGATGGGGACTGGGGAGGGCCAGGCTGAGACCTGCAGAGGGATCTGCGGGGGAGGGCTCACCTTCCTGGTGCTCTTTGCTTGCAGGAACAGACCAAAGCCCGGAAGGACATGATCCTGAAGATGCTGGTGGGCCTGCTGGATGGCATGGATGTGGGGCGGGATGCCACTTCCACTGACTTTGAGGAGCCCCTGGAGGGCAAACTGGAGGAGGAGCGGTCGACCTTGGGGCGGCTAGCCCAGCTATCGCAGCGGGACCGCAAAGCCCCCTGCAAAAACTTCTTCTGGAAAACCTTCACCTCCTGCTAACACCAGTGCCCCGGACCCAGACCCAGACCCCCTCAGGCTCTCCCCAGCCCCTGTAGAATACATGAACTGTGCCTACATTGTAAATGCCATCCACAAGTTGGTAGTGTCTGTTTTCCTTGAATGAATCGAGCTATGGTTGTTTATTACCCCATTCACCAATAAAGCATGGCTGAGAGGCGCCCGGGGGATGTGTGTCTGCTTCTTTGTGCCTCCAGGAGCCAAATGCATGCACCACCAGGTCTCCTGACACTCTCATTGAGGGGCAGAGGGTGAGCGAAGAAGAAAGGGACATGCCAGACAGCCAAGGTATCTCCCCCATTGGGAAACCCAGCGCTCACCCTGCCTGGGCACTGCTGTGAGGAGCCTGGGTGGGGGTCTCAGGTGGGCACTGCCTTGGGGGAGTTGGTGTTGCTGGGATCTCCGATGCCCTGAGCTGAAATATTCTGGGGATATGCCCCCCAGGATTTGAGGGCAACCACGGAAAAGCCTCTCCCTTTTCCATCCCGCCAACCCCCATGCTGGGTTTTACAGTAAAAGCCCCTGCCCAGGATTAGGAGGACTCTCCCCAGGGGCTCCATGCTGGGTTTTACTGTGATCTCAGAGCCAGGATTTCAGGGCAGTCTGGAGAGACCCCATGCCAGGTTTGACAAGGACCCCATCCCCAAGATACTCAGGCCCTGGGAAGCTCTACTGGTACTGGGGAAGCCCAGGGCTCGCTTGGGGGGGCCAGGCATTGCACCAGGCTGTTTCTGGAGCTCCCTGTGTCTGGGAGGCACCTGTGGACACTCAGCTGTCTCACCTTGGGCTGCAGCTTTAATAGGGTGCAGCTGGGAGCAGCTCCCTCAGGCTCTTGCCTTGCTGGGCTGGAGCTGGCAGTTCCCAAGTGCAGCTGTCCTGGGCCATGCTGGGGTACAGAAGGACCCATGGGAGCACCCAGGTAGGGGGCTGGGTGCATTATGCTGGGATTTCACAAAGGGCAAGGGTCTAAGAGGCCCGTCGGTGCTAATGGGGGAGCTGGGTCAGGGCCCTGGCCCTAGGGTCTGCACCTCTGTGGCCCCACAGGTGGCTCAGCACAAGGGGCATTCCCTCTGCAGCCCCAGCGGCTGTAAGAAGCACGGGGGCAGCCATCTCTCTGTGGGCATTGCAAAGCCCGTGCAGGTGAGGCTTGGGGGCTTTGTCCAGGAGGAACCCAGTGAGTGGGACCCTCTCTCCCCCTGCCAGACGGAGTGGGGTGGGGAGCAGTTTGGGAGCGACCTGGACTCGTGGCTGTTCTCTCAGCCATGCTGGGGTGCAGATAACAATGTGCCCCAGGGTAGAGAGTAATTCCCCTGTTACAACTGGGGGAGGATGCTGGGGCAAGGTTAGTGGGTGCTGCAGAGGCTCACACACCCCAGCCGCGAGCCCAGGGCAGCAGCGGTGTCAGATCAGAAGAGCCTTGTGCTCACAGAAGAGGATGCCTCTCACAGTCCCTGGGAAGGGGCAGGCTGGGGTCTCTAACCCAGCTGCCAGACTGAAGCTAGGGAGGCCTGCTGCCCATGCTCACCTGCAGGTGCTGGGGAGCAGATTAGTTTTACGGCCTTGGTGTTAAGATGTAATGGTGGGTCCAGCTGAGTGGCAGGTGAGCCGTGCCAAGGCATATGAGTCCAGTACGGGAGATGAACTCTGGAGTTGGCAGCAAGAGCCTGATTCTACCTATGCACTGACTTATACCGGAGCAAACCAGGCATAAAATGCTGTCATTTGGGTTGACTGTTATTGGTAATAGTGGTGCCTGGAGGCCACGAGCAAGGGCTGGGCTTTGCTGTGCTGCGTAAGCATTTAGCGACCGAGAGTTGTGGTCTAAATAGCCAAGACAGGCAAAGCAACAGAGGGAACTTAATTTGCCCAACATGTTGCAGGGACTCGGTGGCAAAGGTGGGAACAGAACACGGGTCCCCCAGCTCCCACCTCATCAGATCACGCTGCCTCTCTCCTTGGGGTTTCACAGCCGCTTTGCACAGGTGTAAATGACTGCACAGTGAAGACTCCCATCCTGTCCGACCCGGAGCACGACCCACTGGAAATGTGGTGGGGGTGGGAAGTGCTGAATGAGATTGTTTGTTCCAGCCAGAGCTTTGCTTTCTCTTTTGCATGCGAGTGGCACGGAGGTCTCTCCTCTCAGCAGCATTTCAGTTTAATCAGCCGCCAGCCTGTTTTCTTGCAGATGAAGAGCCGCTTTCAACTCCCCCGCTCTCCCGAAGTAATGAGTGATACAGTCGCGCTGGCACCCAGATGGGCAGGCTTGTCTCTGCCACTTTGCTCTCTGTCAGGCTGCATTTTCACCGCCTCGTTTGCCATGGAAGTTTCTGGCTGCATCCCTCCAACTTTTGGGAGCAGTCAGAGCCCTGGAGCTTGTTTCTTTCCTCGCTCAAAAATGACAAATAAGATTCTTGCTGGGGGGACCCCACAAATCAGTAGGCAGGTAATGGGCTATGGAGCTTCCCACAGTGTGGCGCACAGTTGATAGGGTGTGAGGCTAGGACTTGGGAGGTTGGAGGTCTCTTCCCAGCTGTGTGACTTTGGGCAAGTCACTTAGCCCCTCTGTGCCTCGGTTTCCTTATCTGTAAAATGGAGTTAATGACACTTCTCTCCTTTGTAACACACTGAGATCACTGCAGGGAAGTTGTGTGTTGGTATTAACGTTGCTAATCTTGCTTACCAGCGTGGATCCAGCCCAACCTGGTGAGGGCGAAAGGGCACTATCATAGGAATTGCCAAACTGGGTCAGACTTGTGCTGTGTCTGGTACAGTGTCTTGCCTAGACGCTGGCCAGCACCAGGTGCTGTACAGCAATGTGCTGGGAAGCCTGCAGCAGATGGGAGGAACAATCTGGGTCTCGTGCCCACCCTCAACCCACATTGGCTCAAACCTTGCAAAATTTGGTGGGTTTTTTGTGGCTTGTGGACAGCATGTTTGGCAGGTCCCAGCCTGGCCCTGCAGTGAAAATGGGCCAAGTGAGAGCTGGCAGCTGAATGCTCTTTCTCCTACAGATGAGCCCCTTCTGACCTGGGCTGAAGCACCTGGCCAGGCACCGGGAGAAAAGCTGGCACCGAAGCAGCCTGTGTTGCTTGTGGAAAGAGGCCTCCAGGACGATCCAGCCAGCTCTTCTAATTGGCGCTAAAACCTGCCTGCAGCATGGGCATGGTGCTGACTCTTGCATTTTCCCCAGGGTAAGCCAAGAAGATGGGGGGTGCAGCCGTCTTGGGTGCTGCGGAGTGGAGATGGCGTTAATATTTTGGGGATTGCTACTGATGCACAGGGGTCCTGGGAGGGTGTCCGCGTGTGCATGTGTGTAAAATATAAAGTACCCAGATTTGTACATAGATGCTGGGAACCTTCTAATGTTACACCTATACCAGGGTTGGAGGGAGGTGTGTTTTAAAATTGTAGCCCTTGCCTTCATTGCTAGGGTGCTTTTTTTTTTTTTTTTTTAACCTTGGCTTACCTAACATGCACGTTTTCTCCCTGAAGAAAAGCCCAGTGAGGACAAGATCCCTTAGTTTTACCATGAGGCCAACTGGGCACGGTCAACCACAGGCCAGGGCGCAGTGCTGGTCTTGCTTAGTTTACTTCACAATATAACAAAAGTGCCTTGAACTCATGACAGTTTATGTAGAGATATAGCCTATCCATTAATTACCTGGGGATTAAAAAAAGTGCTGAAGAAGTTCAGCAGTGAAAACCAGGACTTGGTGTAGACAGAATAAGTTGTTAACCAGTAGACTCGACAATTTGAGCAGGTAACCTAGACTTAACTACAGATGTTTGTACCTGGAATGAAGGTGTCTGGGGTATCCAGGCCAGCCTTCACAAAGGCGCCAACTAGGAATTTGTTAATTCTCCATAAAAAATCTAGTGAAGATGGGCAAGTACCTTTTTAGTCCAATGTCTTGAGTACAGGTCAGGGGTTGTGGGTTCTGCTCTTGAATCTGCCAAAGACTTTGTACTTCTGACTTTGCCAGTTTACTTAGACCTTGGTTTCAACAGTGGGCACCAGCTCTTAGCTGCGTTTTGCTCTTGGCTGTGTTTCTACCCAAGGACTAGTCTCAGCCCACTGGATCAGAGCCCAAGAAGCTGACTCACAGAATGCATTAGCTAAAGAAGACACTTGTATCTAGGACCCTGCATCTGTGGCTTTTGCCGCAGCTTCATGAGTGACTTGTTTGGCAGAGACAGTTCCTGAATACAAATAAACTCTTGGTAACAATAGAGTATGTCTTAAACCACTTCTCTCTCTTGTTTGAGCTGAGACCTCATGTAGCTTGCAGGGACTGGAGTGGACTGATGTTGGGAGAGAGGAAGAATGGCTACGGCATTGCAGCACTGGTGGGTTTGCAACTGAGGCATGGTTTGAAAAGACAGACAGCAAATGGTATTGTGTTTTCAGCAAAAGTGCAGAGTGCAGGACTCTGCTCTCAGTATCCCTTAGAGGAGGAATAATAACTGTGCTCTACATGGCTCCCATATCTCAGAGCACTTCAGAGATGGATGCATCTTTTGCAGACTTGTAAGCTAGGAGGCAACCTAGTGGATGCATCTTTCACAGACTAGAAGGCAACTGAGTGCCAGAGGATGCAGAAAAGGCTGAAGTGCTCAATGCCTTTTTCACCTGTCTTCACAGCTGCGGTGGTCAGCTCCCAGACTACTGTGCAGGGCAGCACAAGGTGGGGAGGAGGGGAGCAGCCAGCAGTGGCGAAAGAGCAGGTTAGGGACTATTTAGAAAAGCTGGACATACATATGTCCATGGAGCTGTATGGGATACACCTGAGGGTGCTGAGGGAGTTGGCTGATATGATTGCAGAGCCACTGGCCATCATCTGTGAAAACTCATCATGATCAGGAGAGATCCTGAATGATTGGAAAAGGGCAAACATAGTGCCTATATTTAAGAAAGGGGGAGAAAGGAGGATCCAGGGAACTACAGACCAATCAGCCTCACCTCGGTCCCTGGAAAAAATTATGGAGCAAATGCTCAAGGAACCCATTTCTAAGCACTTGGAGAAGGAGGCGATTGGGAACAGTCAGCATGGATTTACCAAGGGCACAGCATGCCTGACCAACCCAACTGGCTTTTATGATGAGATGATAAAAGGCTCTGTGGATGAGGGGAGTCCTGTGGATGTGGTATACTGTACCTTGAT